GCGATTGCATTGCATACAATAAAGCGAAAACCATATGGCTCCTGCCAGTTGCTGATAACTCGGTTACAAAACATGATCATCTCATACAATAAAATATAGCATCATGCCTTGACCATATCACATCACAACATGCCCTGCAAAAACAAGTTAGACGTCCTCTACTTTGTTGTTGCAAGTTTTACGTGGCTGCTACGGGCTGAGCAAGAACCATTCTTACCTACGCATCAAAACCACAACGATAGTTCGTCAAGTTAGTGTTGTTTTAACCTTCTCAAGGACCGGGCCTAGCCACACTCGGTTCAACTAAAGTTGGAGAAACTGACACCTGCCAGCCACCTATGTGCAAAGCACGTCAGTAGAACCAGTCTCGCGTAAGCGTGTGCGTAATGTCGGTCCGGGCCGCTTCATCCAACAATACCGCCGAACCAAAGTATGACATGCCGGTAAGCAGCATGACTTGTATCGCCCACAACTCACTTGTGTTCTACTCGTGCATTGACATTTACGCATAAAACCTGGCTCGGATGCCACTGTTGGGGAACGTAGTAATTTAAAAAAAATCCTACGCACACACAGGATCATGGTGATGCATAGCAACGAGAGGGGAGAGTATGTCTATGTACCCTCGTAGACCGAAAGCGGAAGCGTTATATCAACGCGGTTGATGTAGTCGTACGTCTTCATGATCCGACCGATCCAAGTACCGAAAGCACGGCACCTCCGAGTTCCGCACACGTTCGGCTCGGTGACGTCCTCGTCTTCTCGATCCAGCAAGAGGGGCGAAGTAGTAGATGAGTTTCGGCAGCACGACGGCGTGGTGACGGTGTTGGTGAATAACAATCTCCGCAGGGCTTCGCCTAAGCACTACGAAAACTATGACCAAGGATAAACTAGAGGGGACGGGGTAGCCGGCACACGGCTTGGTGTTTCTTGATGTGTCCTGGGTGCTAGCCCTACCCCTCTATTTATATGTTGAGCCTTGGGGTCGAAACTTGGAGTAAAAGCCTCCACAAAGTCGGTTTCACCCGAAAGGCAAGAGTCCTTCTCGGACTCCAGGGCCAGACGCCAGGGTTCCTAGCGTATGGCCCCTGGACTCCGCAAAACTTCCTTTTGCGCTTTCCAAAAACCTTGTGGGTTTTCCCCTTTGGCCCAAATAAAGTGTTCTCGTACCCAAACATTTCGGGAAACATCCGGAACCCCTTCCGGAGAATTCTGGAACCGTTCCGGTGACCAAACACTATTATCCCATATATAAAACTTTATCTCCAGACCATTCCGGAGTTCATCATCATGTCAGTGATCTCATCCCGGACTCCGAACAACATTCGGTCACCAACATACATAACTTATATAATACTATATCGTCAACGAACATTAAGCGTGCGGACCCTACGGGTTCGAGAACTATGTAGACATGACGAGACACCTCTCTGGTCAATAACCAATAGCGAGGCCTGGATGCCCATATTGGCTCCTACATATTCTACGAAGGTCTTTATCGGTCAGACCGTATAACAACATACATTGTTCCCTTTGTCATCGGTATGTTACTTGCCCGAGATTCGACCGTCGGTATATTAATACCTAGTTTAATCTCGTTACCGGCAAGTCTCTTTACTCGTTCTGTAATACATCATCCCGCAACTAACTCATTAGTTACAATGCTTGCAAGGCTTATAGTGATGTGCATTACCGAGTGGGCCCAGAGATACCTCTCCGACAATCGGAGTGACAAATCCTAATCTCGAAATACGCCAACCCAACAAGTACCTTCGGAGACACCTATAGAGCACCTTTATAATCACCCAGTTACATTGTGACGTTTGGTAGCACACAAAGTGTTCCTCCGGTAAATGGGAGTTGCATAATCTCATAGTCATAGGAACATGTATACGTCATGAAGAAAGCAATAGCAGAATACTAAACGATCGTGTGCTAAGCTAACGGAATGGGTCATGTCAATCACATCATTCTCCTAATGATGTGATCTCGTTAATCAAATGACAACTCATGTCTATGGCTAGGAAATATAACCATCTTTGATTAACGAGCTAGTCTACTAGAGGCATACTAGTGACACTCTGTTTGTCTATGTATTCACACATGTAATATGTTTCCGGTTAATACAATTCTAGCATGAACAATAAACATTTATCATGAAATAAGGAAATAAATAATAACTTTATTATTGCCTCTAGGGCATATTTCCTTCATCGGCAAGGGAGTCGACGAATCCTGGCTCGGCTCATTCCTGCAACCCGTGGCGCGCGCATGTCGTGACGAGGCGAGGCGTGGCGAGGCAGGCGGCAGAGGAGGAGGAGCGCGCGTGTACCACTCCTCTTCCCAAGCTCCCAATGGCAAGTGGTAGAGCAGCCCTTATAAAGGGGTCTCAACTCTCCTCAACTAGCAAGGTGAGACTAAACTTCCCACCACTTGCTATTTCATACATGGGCCTCAAGATTAACCAGGGATTAGTGTCTTATATGGGCCTAAGCCCATTCATAATCCAACAGTTATCAAAGACCCTACTATTCAGTGGCGGAGCTTGGCCAAATAACTAGGCAGGCCGGTTGATAGAAATAGCTTCTCTTCCCTTTTTTTAGGGGAGATACAAATAGCTATTGAACTTGTGTTCTATGGTCCGAAAATAGATATACCTTAAAGAAAATCTCATATGTTGGGCATGCCAGGGCCCTTTGGGCCTTGCTGTAGCTCCGCCACTACTACTATTACAATCACTCTAGATTGTCCAAGACACTAACATGATCATGATGTTTAACTTATTTATCTCAACAGAAGATACTCGATCTAACCGTTGTCCAATCCGCTCCGTCAGAAGTTAGTCCTTATACTTTATATGAATTTAGAACACAACTTAACACAATGAACGACCATTTATTAGAGCATCATCGACTGTGCGCTTGGACTTAGTTTGCTCAGGAACAGCCGCAACAATGTCCGAGTCAATTTCAACAAGAGAGGAATCATCTAACCATTTATCATATCGGAACAGCCTGCACTCACCATTACCCAAAGTCGGCAGCAGCGTTGAAAATTCCAAGTCACGACTGCCAAGAGGAATGCCCAAATGTTTCTAAGGCTTGCTTGGGTCCGCCCTAGCAAGCCATGTGCACCACGACTTCATGGTGGAGCTCATGGTCGCAAGACAAGTGATGTCGAGGCCTACAACTTCCTTCGGGCTACACATTGTGTCCCACTTGACCGGGCAGTAGCCACCAACAATAACTTTAGAACCCTTCCTAAGAAAAGCTCGTGTAGACCTTGTC